TAGTTTAGAGCAAGGTGTACTTATGTCCTAGGCATTTAGTTGGTTAAAGAAGCAATCATAAACAAATAACCCACTGTGATATGTTACACAGTAAAGTTACATAGAATGACCTATGTATACAAAAGGATGCAGCAACAAATTGTGTTTTATGAATTATTTTATGATTATTTTAGAATAATCTTCAGTGGGGATAGACATTAGAACTGGGCTTTTCTGGATGGGGATACCAAGCATTGTACTGGACTCTTTAGGAACGTAACTCTTACTAATGATGTTTTGGTTGCAAATTATGGAAAACCCACTTAAATTGACTAAAATGAAGTATGGAATTTACTGGATCATGTAACAGGGAAGCCCAGAGGTTAGGCAGGTGAAAGGCATATTTCTATCATGACTCTGGCTCCCTTCCTCTGTGGTTCTTTTGACTGCTGTCCTCTATATGTTGACCTTTTCCTCAGGCTTATTTCCCTGAGGGGAACCAATAATAGCTGGGGCTATTTTATATTCAGTTAGGTAAAGGGTGTTTCTTCTTACATCATAACATAAAACATGAACCTTAGTGGTTAAGAATAACTGAAGTTTAGGATTATACTAAGCATGGGAAGTCCTCTAAGAATTAGTTCAAAACCAGCTGAATAGCCAGGCACAGTGGTGCATACCTGGGCACGGTGGTGCATACCTGTAATCCCAATGGCTCAGGAGGCTGAGGCAGGAGGATCACGAGTTCAAAGGCAGCCTCAGCAAAAGCAAGGTGCTAAGCAACTCAGTGAGACCCTGTCTCTAAATAAAAAATAAAAACTAGGCTTGGGGATGTGGCTCAGTGGTCAAGTGTCCCTGGGTTCAATCCCTGGCATCCTTCTCCAAATAAAAGCAGTTTAACAGTTGAAATAACTTGACAGTAACCTCAAATTTGGCTTCTGTTTCATATTTGTTTCTTAATTTAAGCAGCATGCCTTTGCCTATGACTCTTGTGGTGTGTGTTGATTTAGAGACTGATCAATTCTGGATTTCTAGAATAGTAATACCATTTCCATAACACAAAGGTCATTTGTCCTATCAAGGCATTTTTTACAGCCTATATATGTAATATGTGTGAAGTTAATTTTGGAAAAGCAGTATTGTGAATGATTTGAGAGTATAGCTTCTGGAACCTGCCCATGTAAGGTTCTCATCTCATCACTTGGCTGGGAACCTTGGGAAAATTTTTAAATATTTTGAAGGTTTAGTTTCTTTATCTAAGAAATAGAAACAGAGTTAAGACCTATCTCATAATGCTAAGGATTACATGAGGTAATCCATGTAATGCATATGGCAAAGGTTCCCAATGTTGGTTAACTGAACTCTTATTGTCTCAGTAATTATTTTCACTGAACCGCTAAGTCAAAAGAAATATGGAGCATTTCTGTTTATTGAGTAACTAGGTGCAAAAAATTAATAGTAGTAATTCATGAGGTATGTTTCCTTCAAAAAATTTAAAATATCTCGCAGCACCCTTCTGAGTTGGCTATGTAACCCTGGGCACTTTGGTGACCAGTTTGGGAATAGAACATTTCCAGCCAGTTGGTTGGTATTAATTACATGGTAGCTCTTATTATTGGGAAATTACTATTATTAGAGGGGATCTGAGTATCAAAGAGGAAGTTTGAGAGATTTATTTTTACACTTATAGACAAGAAAATCTCATACCCAAAGTGGTGCCATTTTCTAGTTTTGCCACTACCAAGGTCTTCCCACTCCCTTTATCTAGCTCATTAACTGAAAGTCACTCTTTGAGAGTTCTGACTTTTAGATTAAAAAATTCTTCCCTTTGTCTCTATCTGGCCTTTCCCTCCCTTGTTTTCTTTCCCCCTCTTCCACTTCCTCTCTCCATGTCACTCTCAGCTAGTGTCTAAAACCTGGCATCTGCTCTCTCTTGATGTGGGGAGGCTGTCTATTTAATTCAGAAGGAATGATTGGTTGGATTTTGTTTTGATTCTCAGCTTGGCCTGTGAGCCTGAGAGAACAGGGGGTGCTGATTGCTCATTCCTGCATACCTCTCTCTTCTCCCCTAAGGGAATAGAGGAAAGCAATTTAAACAGAGAGGTTGTAGAAGGTGGTCTGTGGGCTCCTGCACCCCAAGGGGGAGGGCTGTGCCAACCCTTAGCAATCGAGGTCCATGGGAGATCTTTGACTTTTTCCTAGAGGCTAGAACTGACTTTAGTTCTATTTGGTTGTTTAGATTCACTGAAGGGAAATCTGATGTTTGAGGAATGAGGAGGAATGAAATAACAGACCTGTCCATGCACTGTTGACTCTGGGCCTCCTTGGTGCTGGCCGGCAGAGGTCGGGAGCGGCTGGCTGGCTGGCTTTTAGCCCCAGCCGGCGGCGTTTGCTTTGGCCGTTGGGGGAAAGAGCACTTTGTGGAAAGCCAGCCTTCCCGGCCAAGGGCCTATTTTCATCCTGAATTTGTTGAGTCCAGCCTGATGGCTGGGTCCAGGATCAACAGAGGCCATGGAAAACGGGACTGGATGCCTGGCAGCCAGAACTGTGGGCTTTGTCTTCCTGACCAGTGCATTCAGCCCTGAGCCCATGAAGGCAGGCATAATAGGGAGCCAGGAACCTTGTGGCATCAAGATCAGAAAGAGCTGGTTACTCTAGCTTTTGTTACAATGGTCATTGTAGTCTAGGTATGGCTGGAATAGATCACTAGGCCTCACCCCTTTCTGGGCTATTCAGTCTAGAAAGGTGAATGTGTGGCAAGAGCTCACACAGCTCCCAACATGCCTGTAGTCTCCTAAGTGGGGACCTCCATATAATGAGGGGCCATGAAATCATTGGGTCAATATCTTTACCAACGAACCAGATGCCATGAGGGTGCAGAGAAGTCTCAGTTGTGAACTCTTTCCTGTAGGAGTTCAAGATCTTTCCAGGGAAACAGGTCATTTTCACAAAGAGGTACTTTTCAGTCCTAGGCAGGATAGTCTTAGGACCATGTACACAAAGAAGTGCTAAAGGAGTTCAGGGGGAGGGCAAGAGCCCTAGGGAAATAAGGATTGAGATGGGTCCTAAAAAGTGAGTAGGAATCAAAAAAGATATGATAAGTGTTCTTTAATGCTTCTAAGATAGAAATATTTTGAAATTGACCCAACACATATCTTTGGTTTGCTGTAGGATCCTGGCCTCCAATCAGATTGTGTTTAGACTATTTGAGTTGGTTTGAAACCTGGGTGACCAAAGTGATCTGCATTTCTCAGACTCATGCAACTGTCTAGAACTGGGATGAAACTAGAAAAATTCTGGAAGCATGACAGTTGTACCTTGTCATTTAACCCTATTATAATCTGAAACCCAACAGTGACTTCTTTTGCTTTCAGAATAGTCAAACAACTGCAATTGGATATTCAAGGTCTCTCACAGTTTGATCTCAACTTTACCTTCCAGCTATTCTCATTCTTCTTAGAGACTTCCAGCTCTCCATTCCATCTAAGTCTTCTTCCACCCTGGTGCCCATGGGGGGTGACTTGAAGTTATTTATGGACTTATTGAACTTTGGCCTGAGTCCCCTCTTTCCTTTTGAAAATTTAGCATTTGCTGTGAGCTCTTCACTTTCTTTCATATCTACTATTCCCATTATATTCCTAGTTAATCAAAGTCCTATTGAAAACTGATTCTTTGTAGCTCTAGATCAGGGATCAGCAAACTTATTCTCTAAAGGCCCAGATAGTAAATAGTTTAGGCTTTGAGACTCATACTGTTATCAATGCCTAAGTGTTGCTGGGTTCTAACACAATTATTTAGGGACTGAAATTTGGTTTTCATCAGTCTTCACCTGTCACAAATATTATTCTTGGTGTTTTTTTCAACCATTTGAAAATATAAAAATCATTTTCAGTTCATACTCTGCACAAAAAAATGGCATTGGGTTGAATATGGCCTGCAAGCTCTAGTTTGCCAACCCCTACTCTAGAAGACAGACTCAGACTACTGTATGGAAATTATAGGGGAGAAATTTGGGCTCAAATAAAAAAATGAGCATCATATGAAAATGGGATATGTTGCCTGGGAAGTCAGATCTACCACGTTTTCACCAAAAGTATTCAAAGACCTCTGGTTAGTAGTTTCATAGGAAGACTCAGAGGTCTTATGGGAGATTCAAATTGATGCTAAGTCTGTTGGACCATGGTTGTCACGTGTTGCTTCCTCCCTATAGCCATCAGTTTCCAATTACTTGCTGTTTCCCTTTTATTTTTGAAAGTCTATGTATTTGTCTTTCACTCCTCCCCACCTACCATTTGATGAATGGTATTTACTCCCCAGTTTTTCATCTTTGTACCCCTTATTGTCCTTCCAGAAATGCAAGGGTTAATGTCAAAAGGGTAAGGTTCATTGGACAGCTGCTGCACTGTTGCCTGGCAACCATCAGGGGCAGCCGAGAATTTCTGCAGAGAGGTCTTTGTGGAAAGATGGTCTGACCCAGACATTAGGGCAGCGTGTAGAGCGAATGAGATAATGTATGTAAATGTCATTTATTAATTATAAAAACAAGGTTCGATTCTGTCTTACAGAGTGTCATATCCCTTTCCTTTACTGTCAGGAATTTAAATTTGCTTTAAGAAATTTCAACTCCTTTTTGCTCCCCTCCCTTGTACAGTGGTTTGGTCCGGTTTCTTAGAACAGCATCCCCTTTCTGCCAATCCTCCACAGTGGTCTGACCCTGACTTACAGATTACTAACTAGGCCCTTATATTCTTACTCTTCCCTCTTCTTCTTACTTATCAGTCCCCATCCCAGAGCGCTTTGATGGCACCTTATAGCAAAGCATCCCTGTGCAGCCCCCTGTGCATCTCAGTGGTTTGATCCTGCCTGGAGAGCATCAGCATCTTTCCCCCTCCTGTTTCGCACCAATGATTTGATCCTGCGTCACTGAGCATCAGTTTCTTTTAGCCCCTCCCCCGGGGTCCACAGTGGTTTGATCCTACCTCACGGACTGTTAGGTCCTTTCTGATTTCCCCTCCAGCATCACCACCACAAATGGTATGGTCCTTAGCATCAGGTCCTTTTTGTCCCCCCCCCCCACTGGTCTTCTAAGCAGGTTTGAAGCAGCTTCATCTCATTCCTGATTCATCCTGTTCCCCTCAGTGGCTTGCTCCTGCATTAGCAATGTAAAACTGGCCCCAATGGGTTTCTAACTGGCCAGAAGTTGCTTCTGATTAGTTCAAATCTTTTGTGACAAGAAAAAATCAGCTCTGACCAGTTGAAATCGATTTTGACCAGTTTAAAGCTAATTCTGCAGAGCTGGAGCCTGAGGTCGGTAAACCCAGGAAGATGGCTGAAGACTATGCTGATTCAAGCCAAAGCAAGGAACCAGGTACTTACAGAAGTTGAAACTGAGCTGAGACCTAGGAAATAAAACAGATTAAATAAGGAAACACAAAATAAAGGAGCTAGGGTAGATTCAGGGAAGGTTCAGAAGAGGTTAGTTTTACCCAAAGTTTATTTATTTATTTTTTTGAGAGACAAGAGGCCATTTCGTGGAAGAAGTGCAGGGTTTGGGGCTCTGTCTTGGTTTGTCTGGGAAGTAGTATGGGTGCTGACACCATCCAGTAGTCTCATCAGACTGGAGTTCAGACTTGGTCCTATATGGCCCCAGTGATCCCTGGCTCTGCAAGCCAGCTCCTGGGGCCATTCTTTGTGTCTGGCCTCACCTCAGGCTGAAATGTATAAAGTCCCAAAGCATGAATCACAACTTTCCCATTCCTTTAACTGTGGATGGTCATGATATTGTTCAGTTTTTTAGGGATATTATTTAAGTTGGAAGGAGGGATAGGTCAATCTTGAACAAAAGAGCTAATTCAAATAGGTAAGCCATAAGGAAACAAGTCAATTCATTAAAATTGAGGTGAGGGGTTCACTTTACAATTCTTTAGAAAGATAGGTAACAGAAAGTGATAGAGAACAGTATCTGATCTCTCAATGGTGGGATTGGTTATCTATCTCTTTGTGGCTTGTGGCCTGATGAAGAAATTGGACTATGTTATCTGGATTTCTCCCAGGTGGTTGTGTTTCTGTTCTTTGTGGGGACTGCAGTGTGAAGGGTAGGGGGCTAGAAAACATGGAATGTGAAAAATGAAATTTTCATACACTGCAGCATTTTGAATTTATGTAAAATCTCTGCAGTGGGACAGTGGGCAGGCCAGATGCTTTGATGACGAGTGACATAATGCTGCAGGATTGAGGGTGGGGTTGAAGCTCTGTTTGGTGCATTATGTCTCAATATCTTTTCTGCAGAAGGATATGGCTCTGTGACTGTTTACCTGTAAGGTGAAAAGCAAAGGTTTCCTAGAATGACATAAAAACTTGGCTGCCTGAGAGGGAATCTGATCCTTTTGTGAGAGAGCATGGCTTAGGAGCCTGTTTTTGAACTGTCTTTTAGGACGATGGCTTCAGTTAGCCACTGACTATTTCTCATGAGGGAGGATGGCGGCCATTTTAGTCAAGACAGTTGAATGGCACCTCCAAATGTTGAGGTAGAAAAAAAAATCAAAAGATCTGGAGTCAGATAATCAGACTTGGAGTCTGGCACTGCTATTTTGCCATATGGACTTTGAGCAAATTATTTAAACTCTCAGAGACTTGATTTTCTTATTTGTAAAACAATGTTAATGTCATCTGCCCTAAAAGATAAGAACCTTAGAGTTTAATACCTTTTGGAGCAAAGTAGCTGCTATGCAGCATTTTTGTTTGATTAAACTGAATTTTGTGATAGGGATTATGTGTGTGTGTGTGTGTGTGTGTGTGTGTGTGTGTGTGTGTGTGTGTGTAGGGGGCAGTGCATAATTTATGTTGATAAAAATAATTTCTTTTTAAATTTCAGCAGAGTTTCATCCAAATGATGCTACTTGAACTATATTGAAGAATGCAGGAGAAAATTTTCATTGAAATGCTTTATAACTGTAACATGAAAGATTGTTGTTTTTATAGTGATATGTTTGTTGATTATCATTAAAGTAGCACATACAAAAGCCATAGTATAAAATGTCTTCCAGCATTGCAGACTCAAAGAACTCTCTGACTCCAGATTCAATTCTTGCCCTACTTCACCCTGGACCTTGGCTCCCAGAAGTCCTGACGTGTGGTATGCAGCATCATAGACCACAGTGACCCAAGTTGTGGAGGTGGGAGGTGATGGTGTGGATCATGTCAGAAATATAGATGTGAACATGGTTGGTTATTACAGTCTCTTCTTTGGCCATGACATACTGGAGCTATCTTATTGCAAGATAAGCCTGTATTACCTCACCGGGATTCTGTTGCCCTCCCTGAAAATAATAGCATCAGGTAGAAAGGCAATCAGATGGACCTTTAAGAATGTGGAGATTCAGTTTCTGCCATTCATAAATGAGGGGGATGGGACCCAGATTAGGCAGTAGAGCATCAGCTTGAAAAATTTAAATTTCACTATATTTTTGTCTGAAATAGCCCCATTTAGAAGCTGTGTCCTATGCTCAGATCTGTGTCCTATGCTCAGACATGACTTTTTTTTTTTACTTTTTAAAGAAAATTATTAGTTTTAATTAGCAGAAAGCTAACATGACCTTTTTTTGAAAGGGTCACTTGATTAATAGGTGCAGATAGGTAATGATTACAATATACCTATATTGCAGCAAGGAACATGACAAAGATTTTTTTTTTTTAATGACATTCTGGTGAACATGATGGAAGAGTCATGAGCTGGAACATTTTCCTTTATTTGGATTCTGAAATAGGCATTTTAAAAGAATGTACTACTTTTATTGAGCACTTACTATGTGCCAGGCATTGTGCTAAGTACCTTTGTGTGTTATTCATTTAATCCTCATAACAGTCCTATGAATTGCATATTATTAATGCCATCATACAGATAAGGGAACCATTTACAAATGGTGTAAATTATTGATTTTGTTTCCCCGGGAGTAGGACTTTTTATGAAGTATGGATGATAAGGGCACATTCTTTGGAGAAATCAAAAGAATTACTTGGATACAGGTTTTTCCAAAGCACACAGGCCTTTTCCCCATTTTAGTTTCACTTTTAGGAGGCTTACCCCTCCTTGGTACCTCTGACATTTTGTGAGCCCTGTGATTGATGTGAATGGGTGGTTGTTAGGTCTCTCACATGTAATAAGATTGGAAAAAGGTACATCTTAGCTGTTGTAAAGAGAGGTCCTTGGTGTAGGCTGTAGGGCTTCTGTGTCTGGTGCTTGATGATTTCAACATTGCAATTAATGTGTTGGATAGACACGTAGAAAAGTATGGTCATCAAGTGTTAAGAGAGAACTGGAATGGGAGGAGAATAAAATGCTGCATAGTAGAACCAGAAATCTAAGAAGGTATTCCAAAACCAACAAAATAAATTTGAGAATAAACGTGACGTCTTGTTTTAGTTTCATGAAACAAATTGAAAATTTACAACTTTATAGGATGGGTACATGTTTAATATGGCTGCCATAAAAGTTAATGGAAACTTAGGTTGCATTAATAATAACATAGATTCAAGAATGAAGGAGGTGATTATTCTGCTCTTTTCTGAGTTTGTAGAACCATACATCAAGTCTTGTACTCTGTTATGGCAACTGTCTTTTAGAGAGGGACAAAGATAGAATAGATATTAAGAAGAGAAGCCTGGAGGATGAATTAATTGCTATCTTCCTGTACCTTTAGGTTTCTCATGAGAAAGAGGATTTTATCTGTATGGTTTGATGCCAAGGAACAGGATTAGTATTACTGAGTGGAAGTTGCAGCAGAGCTGACTAAAGATGAAATGAGCTGTTACAAGAGAATTAGCTCCTTTTCATTGGAAGCATTTAAGCAGAAGCTAGTTGACTATGTATATTACCGATTTTAGTATCCTATAAGACTTCAAATGCAGTCTTAATCCCCCAATTCAGTAGATTGAGAATTACCCTGAGCATTTCTTGAGTGTTTTTTGTTTGATTGATAGAGAAGGTATCATCAGGAAGGAGAGGTATAGAGTGAACCTTGATAATAACTAGTGGGTCCAAAAAAAAAAAAAAAGAAAGGAAAAACTTGGGTTGTCTGGTGTGCCCCAGCCAAGAATGATGGTGAAGAAAGGAAACATTTACCAAGTACCCTGCATATGCCTGGCGCTTTTACACACATTATTTCTTAATTTCCATCACAACTAGGTGAATTATATATTATTAGCTACACTTCCTTTTTACAGTTGAGAAAACTGAGGCTCAGAGAGAGTAAGTGACTTGCCCAAGGTCATGCCACTAATAACTAACCTTGGGGGCACACGTGAGAACCCTCCATAGGGAAATATGTCACAGAATTTTTACTTTTACCTGATCACTTCTCCAGTTGAGTAAAGCACTGGTATTGCCAGAGGCGAGTCAGGACTGTGTGGACAAGTGCGTCATGCTGGGCTGGGTGCCTGGAGTAGATGAGAATATCATGAAGATATATGATCAGCCTCTAGTCCAGCAGGTCCTGGAGGATGGTGTTGGACTGCAGCTGAGCTATTACACAGGCTAAATGGCATGAGTGTTTATTCAGAGTGTCTGTACCTTATACAGAACACTGTCTTCCATAGACTCTCAGAATGGCACATCTGTAAGAAGACATAGAGATCCTCTTTTTTAATTTTTTTAAAGATCAGGAAACTGGTTTTGAGAGGCACAGGGACTTCTCCAACTTTTCTACTTAATAATTTTGTCCCTGATACTGCCAGAAATTTATTTTTTAAATGTAATCTAGAAAATTCGGATTAGAGCTTTTTAGAGATTTCTTTTTCAGGAAGGCCCCATTCCTCTGTAAAACTTGCTACTCTGTTTCAGAGCTGCAAGATAGATGTGTAATACTGTGGTTTCTTTTTTTCTCCCCATTAGAGAGGTCAGCATAATACAAATGGGAAGAGCATAAGCTTTAGAGTTGGGTCATATGGGATTGAAATTCCTTACTGGAATCCAGGGGAAAGTGTTTAACTTCTTTGAGCCTCAAATTCTTTACTTATAGAAATGGAAATGATTGCTTGTTTGTAGTCCTGTGGAGTTTGAGGTGTTTGTGTGAAGTCCAGGTGGACAGATCCAGAGAGGATGAAGCTCAGAAGAACAACCCTACCTGGATATACAGATCTGAGGATTAATAGGCAATGGGAAGATATGTAAAGCCATATGCAAGGTTGACGTTATCTAGGTGGAGGGATCTCTTCCACATGATAGCCCTTCAGGTATTTGAGATTGATAACCATGTTATCCAGATTGTTCAGTTCTCTAAGTTTGCTGCATCTAGTATTAACCTCTAGGTTGACCATCTTTGATACTTCTGCATTTGTCTTAGATTCCAGCCTCTTCATCAGTTAAGTTGTCCTTTTGAGAACATATCATGTTTTGGTTTTGTCATCATTGATGTGTGGTGCTTTAAACCTAAACATAGTACTACTATTATGGGATAGAGACAGAATAAGACCATCATCTCCTTTATTATGGATACTATACTTTTATTGATGTGTCACAGGGTTTCACTAGTTTGTTTTTGGTCACATATATTGTTAACTAACCCTCTGAAGTCTCTTAGCAGGTACTACTGATAAGTCCTATTATTTGCTCTCAATCATTATAAAATAGTGATGGTATATGGTAGCGAGTGTCAAATGTTAAAGTGCTTTAAACTTCCCCTGGGAGAGTTGTTAAAAATGCAGATTCTGGGCTAATCCATATTTTGTATCATTTTATTTTATATTGTTGACATTATACCAATCACCTGAACTTCTTTTATTGAAAAAAAGGTTAACATAATATGGCCATTCTCTAAGTTTGTTTTGCAATCTTTTTACAGTTTAGACTTTTTTTTTCAGGTTCTCAAAGGCTTGTGTTTATTTTAATTATGTCTATTGATATTTACTGTGTTAGAATCTAAAACAGACTTTAAAAAATTCCTGATTCTAGAATAACAACAATAAACTCCAAAATGTGTTAATATAAGTATATATCTTTTAATGGAAAATAATTGTATTTTTCCAAAGGAAATATATTTTATAAGTGGAGTTGTTTCACTTTTAAAAATTGTGTTCAATGTCTTACTTAGTAAAAGAGCTGGATTCTCATATCTCCTTTTTCAGTCTTTAGCCATATCACACATCATACAGCCTCAGGAAAATTTCACTCCCGAGAGAATTAGAGTGAAAAAAATCAATTAACCTTTTTTTTTAATGTAGTTCAATTTATTCAGATTCCAGAACAATCTGTTCCCAGTATATGTAAACTGGTCCTGAGTGCCATGAGACTGAAGAAAAAAAGGCATATAGATCCAAGATTGCATAGGATGCAATTTATTGGGGACTTAATGAGAGAAGTGTGTTTCTGGGTAGTAGCAAGAACAGGTGGATCCTTGTAATTTGGTACACAAGATGGGGCTTACAATGTGTTCAGTAGAAAAGGAGTTCATTCAAGCCTGAATGTACCTGATTCATCTCAATCTAATATCAGAGTTAGGAATCTTCCTGACACCAGGGTCTGATTGCAAACTCTACATGCCACTCTAATGGTTTTGTTTATTTATAATGTGCTAGGAAACTATGTGAAAAAACCTGACCAAGGTTATTCCAGGGCAATAATAGTGATTATGATTCAAGATGGCTGCAGTTATGTGAAACTGAATCCATAAAATTCATTTTATAGGTGAGGAAACTTAGGCCTATAGATATATACAAGGTCACACAACTAGTTTTTGCTGATACAAGATTCCTAATAATAGTGATCTCAGTGGTTTTACATTTTTTTATGCTTAGTACTATATTATGCATTTATTTTTTTTTAAATTACATACAAGAGGAAGTGAGGGGAAAGGGAAAAATTAACTTTTTAGTAGCAGATCATTTTGACCTTACGGGTCACCTAAAAGGCCCTTGGGATTGTCAGAGGTCTTTGGACCACATTGCTAAATTTACTAAAATAGTGATTAAGGATGTCACATATTGGGGCAGAGATTTGCTTTAGCACCTACTATTTGCTCCATTAAAAAAAATCTTGATTTTACTGGGCACAGTGGCACGTGCTTGTAATCCCAGCAGCTCAGGAGGCTAAGACAGAATGATTGTGAGTTCAAAGCCAGCCTCAGCAAAAGTGATGTGCTAATTGACTCAATGAGACCCTGATACAAATGATACAAAATATGGATTAGCCCAGAATCTGCATTTTTAACAACTCTCCCAGGGGAAGTTTAAAGAACTTTAACATTTGACACTCACTGTCACATACCATCACATAATTCATAATGATTGGGAGCAAATAATAGGATTTATCAGAAGTACCTGCTAAAAGACTTCAGAGGTAGTTAACAATATATGTGAGTCGGTGGTGAGACAGACACCAAAAAATACAAAATAGGGCTGGGGATGTGGCTCAGTGGTTGAGTGCCCCTAAATTCAATTCCTGGTACTCCCCAACCACCAAAATCCTGATGTTACACAAAAAGACAAATATTGCATGATTCTCCTTATGTGAGCTACCCAGAACAGTCAACCTCAAAGAGATAGACGGTAAGATAGTGGTTACTAGAGGCGGGAGGATAAAAGATACTGAATCAAGTTGATGGGTTCCGTTTCAGTTTGGTAAGATGAAAACATTCTGCTGTTAGGTGGTGGTGATGGCTGCCAAACAAGGAGAAGTACTAAATGGCACTGAATGCTCAAACAGGGTTAAGATGATAAATTTTCTGTCATGCATATTATAACACAATTTTCAAACCTAAAAAACAAATTCAGATTGTGGGTTCTTGGTCACCAATATTCTGATTCAATAGGTCTGCAGTGAGGCACTTCAGGTGATTCTGATGCAGGTCGTCCTTGACAATGCTCTGGGAACTATCATCCATGTGAAGAGAACTGCATCCTGTCCATCTTCATCCCTGGCAATGACTAGCCCCATGCTGCCCTGCTTCACTGCAGAATGCAGCCAGAAAGTGGTTGTAGGATATCTGCAGCTCCATCTCATTTCCTGATTTCCAACATCTTGATTTTATGGAAAAGGTAAGATCTTTTTCCCTCACTTTTCCATGTTTTGGAAGTTCCTTAGATGTTGTGAAACTGGTTCATCTGTATTTAGATGTATTTAATGGGGAACAAGAATGATAAAGAGTGGTCAAGACATTGATTGATGACAGGCTTGCTATGATACATCATCTATAAAACTAAACTTCAGGTGTATTAAATAGATATTTTGCAGAATACTAAAGCCTTAAGAATAGAAGAAAATGTGGGTAGATACATGGTTTGTCTCTGGATAGGCTTAAGTAATACATGATATAACAAAAGAAAGGGATTATATATTTGAAGAAATAAAAATGAAAGCCTGTAAATCTAAAAACATGAACAAAATTAAAGAACAAATAGACTGGAAAATTGGTCAATAATATGATAAATACAGTCAGTCCTCCTTCATGGATTCCATATTTGCAAGCTGGTCTGCTCACTAAATTTATTTGTAAACCCAAGATCAATACTCATGACAGTTTCCTTGTCACTCATCTATATTTACAAAGTGGCAAAATATTTGCTTTACCCACTGTGCGCATCTCTAGCTGAGGCCCACTTCTGCGTTTTTGTTTCATCTTTCATATTGTAAATAAGTAAGCTTTGCACAGTCTTATTAGCGCTATGTTTTCCCACATATTTTTTTGATTTTGCTGCTTAAAATGTAGTGCGATCTGGTATTTCTAATCTTAGGAAGGCTTTTAGAGAAACTACATGTGTTCAAGAAGTTTCAGGCATAAGTTATAGTGCTATTGTCTATGATTTCAATGTTAATGAATCAACAATATATTGTTATTGTTATTATTTGAGATGAGGTCTTGTGTTACCCAGGATGGTCTTGAACCCCCCAATCCTCCTGCTCTAGCTGGCTGAGTATCTGGGATTACAGGTGAGCATTGCCATGCCATACTTACAATTGCCATACTTACAATATACACTAAATGAGATGCCTTTAAACAGAAACACACATGAACAAGGTTATATATCAACTGGTTAATGAAAAAGTGACCAAAGGCTCGCAGAAAACTCATTCTGCATTTCCCCAGGGCTATGGCTCAGGATTTACTAATTTAGTGTTTGCTACGATTTATTTAAACATATCAATTATGAATAACAAGACTCAATTGGATATAATTATATACTGTATATAATTGTATTATTAACTCTATATGATTATATTACCATCTAACATACTGAATATATAAAATACATATACAGTGATAAAAAACAGTAAATCTCAATTAAAAATTGGCGAAGGAAATATAAAGGTAATTTGCAGAACAAAAACCCAATGCATATTAACATTTTTGAAAAACTCTTCCATTTTTGTATTAATAAAGAGAATAAAATTGAAGTAGCAATGGGCATGTCATTATTGTTGCCTATCAAATTAGAAAAACATAGAAAAGACTTAATACTCTCCTGGGGAGAGTGCAATGAGGTGGTCATTCTTGCACACTGCTGGTAGATTAAATCAGTACTTTGTTTTAGGAAGTAGTCTGGTGGTTTGTATCAACAACTCTAAAAAGGTTAATATCTCATGACTCAGAAATTCAACTCTATGAATGTCTCCAGAGGAAAGAGAGATTCAGATGAAGATTTATGTGCCTTCAATATAACATTATTTGTAAAAACAAAAATGGGAATCAAAATAGGAATGCTTAAGAATAGGGGAACAAATATATTATGGATGGAGGCAGGATGAAAGATTTATAAAACCATTAAAGATACTTTAAAGAACAGTTAATGCATTGCATGTAGAAAATTCATGATTTAATTGAAATAAAGCACATTATAAGATATATGATAAAATGGAACTATGCTAAAATTATATACACAAAAATAAATGAACTTGAGAATAAATGTTTATTGGAGAGTAAAGCACATTTTATTGCATGTGTCTTTAACTTTTTACAAGTCGAGGGGGGTCCCCTAGTCTGCTTCTTGGTAACCATCCTTTTTATCTTATTCAGTTAGGCATATTTTAAGAGATGGGACAATAGGTCAGAAGAGGAAACAGGGTACTACTGAGATGGACCAGACCAGGAAGAGCAGCATTTGGTACATGTTTCCTTTCTCCCTGTCTTCCCTACTTTAGTAATGCAGAGAAAGAAATGATCCATATATGCTTGTGTGAAAATAAGTAAGGTGGGCAGGAGTTTGGAAAGCTTCAAGAAGAAACTGACATTCAAACTGAGTCATGAAGGATTTGTAGACTTTTAGGTGAAAATTTCAGGATAGTTCTTGACCTTCTTAGCTTTTAAATGTCAATGATGCTACTCTTGACTGACTATAAGATCAGTGCGCTGAAAGTGATTCTCCTTTGGGATGACAATACCTGGAATTTTTAGTGTTTTTTCTCAGAGTTCAGGTAAGTTGTCATATTCTTATGCTCTGTTCTTAAGATCAATAGAGGATAGAAACACAAAAACATTTCAAGAATTCTATAGCATTTTGATGAATCAGGTATGTGATGTGGAAAATGGATTAAGGGTGGTGGGGTAATGGGTAGATTTTGAGGAGAGAAAGAAAAGGAAATATTTGGTCTTTTAATTTTAACTAATATACTTAACAATCCTGTGAAGTAGGCAATTATTCTAATTTTGCAGAGGAGAAGTAATGAGGACCTAAATGGTGGTGGAGTAGTAGGTGTAGCAAGTAGTAACTACAATGGGAAAATAAAATTGGAAATAGCTGCAGCACAAGGGCAGGGATTATTAGTTGGCTTTAACTTGAATGCACAGATAACCATTGAGATTCTTAGTTCATAGGGTTGTGCCAAGGTTAGATAAAACAAGGGCTATGATAGTGCTCTGTCCATTGCCAATGGGGGATACCCCAAACCTAGGAGTCTGGGCAACCTGGAGGATAGAAAGGATATTAAAGGAGGTGGGGACTCAAAAGATTATTTTTTGGGAAAAGATAACATTCTCTAATTCTTCAACACCTCCCCAGTGAGGGTACACCCTGTTTTCTTCCACTATAGTGAATAGAGATTTTTTTCTCTCTCTCATATACATATACAAATTTAATTCTATATAATTGTATTTGTGATATAATATTATAATTATATATAATGTGTGTATATATATGTATGTAATTTGTAGATGCATACACTATCTTTGGTAGAATACACAAGAAACTTTGTAGGGATTGCATCTAGAGAAGAGACCTGATCAAACTGGGAAGAACACAATTTTCATTTTGTACCTGTTGAACTGTGTGGCATGTATATGTTACCTACTTCAAAAAAGAGAATCACAAAACAGATCAAACATAAAATAGAAAAACCTCATATGCACCCATTATATTTCCATCTCCTATACTTTAATGACAAAATGTCCCTTGTGTCCTATATCCTTATATGTTCATAAAGCTTTTCTGCAACCATTCTAACCCATATCCTATCCTTTCTGATCACTTGTTGTGGGAGCCAGTGGGAAGAAAGAAATGGAACCAGCAAGTACATATTGTTAGTGGAGAAGGGAAGAATGTTAGGTAAAGCGGTAACTTTGTGTCAAGAGAGGGTTTCTAATTTAGGTATTTCTTAATACCTAAAAATATTTATTTGAATTGTAACGAAAAGAGACTTTTATAGTTGTTTGTAGGTGGAGGAAAAGAAGCCTGGAGAGAAAAGAGAAAGGAAATGGTCATAAGTAGGCTTAGCAAAACTATCAGCTATGTTGAACTAAAGTTGTAAAAATGTGTTTCTATAGAACTGTTCAGAAATGGTTCTGAAAACCTGAAAAGCTCTTTATAAGTTCTCAGACCCCAGAACAGGCCTCTCTGTAGCCATTCCCAACAGTAGCTCTTCATAAGTAGTCTTTTTGGGTCTGCTGAGATCTATCAGATATTCATTCCACAAAATTTAAATGACATAGCACAGGGCAAGAGTTATGTGATTTCATTTAATTGACTAACTTCACATTCACAAAGGGGAGAAAGTTGGTATGAGAATAAGCATGCTTTGGTACAGATTTGATGACAGATTCGGGTCTAAGTGTTGTGGATTCTAACAGAGCCGATATAGTGCTTGGTTCCTAGTAGGTGTTCAGTAAGTGTTTGTAACGTAATTCGTTTATTGAGCACCTCCTATCAATCAAGCACTGTGCTAGGCTCTGGGACCACATAGATAAATTAGACAAGGTCCTCTTTGAGGTGCTTAGGTCTAGTGTGGTTACAATTAGGAGATAGGTTTTATTACAGAGGTACAAACAGATAGGAGAGGACCTACCCAGGAAACAAAACCAGATTGTAATTTGTTGAGGGTTGAGCATGGGAAGAGGATGTGAGGAAAGGGAATATAGACTATTTGTTTAAAAAGCTTGGTTAAGAAACAAAGTAGAGAGAGACTGTCAGAGAAGGAAGATTGAGGGACTGCTTCTTGAATGATGAGAGATATGAGTATATTGTTGTATAGAGGAGAAAAAATCATCATAGAGGGAAGGGGTGAAGATTCAAGGATATAGGAGGAGACAAGAGCAGAAACTGGGAAACTCTAGTAAAAAATTGTGGGACACCGAGAATTCTCATGAAGCAGGAGATCATGAATTTTCAAGTGTCATCAAGTCAAAATGTAAATGTAGTTAAGTTAAAATTATGGACTTAAGTTAAAGTTATAGAAAGGATAGTGGCTGAAATATGAACTGTAGGGCCCAGACCTATAAGAGAAGATAATTATGCTTGAAAGGACTGACAAATTGGGAGAAATCAAGAGATCAAAGAATAGGAGTAGCGAAGTGAAAGAAGCAAAAGTCCTCAGTGGAAAAAAATAGCCAAAGAGTGTGATATACAAATTTAAGATTGTAGAGGTGGAGTAGTTTCAAGGCAATGAAAACACCTTGGATGTGGATAATTGAAGTATAGGAACAGTTCACTTTATTGAGCACCTCTTACCAGTCAAGACTGTGCTAGGCTCTGGGACCACATAGATAAATTAGACAAGGTCCTCTTTGAGGTGCTTAGGTCTAGTGTGGTGTTGAGTTTTGGAAGTGGAA